TACCTACCTACCTACCTACCTACCTACCTACCTACCTACCTACCTACCTACCGACCTACCTACCTACCTACCTACCTACCTACCTACCTACCTACTTACCTACCTACCTACCTACCTACCTACCTACCTACCTACCTACCTACCTACCTAACTACCTACCTACCTATTTACCTACCTACTCTGAGTGTATATCCCCACTGGGTACGCTTGAAAAATATGCCTGGCCACGGTGCGAATCGAACTTACGACCTTTGGAATACTAGCCCAATGCTCTGGAAAAGTAGCCCAATATATACAGCTATTTCAATTAAGGTTGTCCCCAGAGCAAAGCGGAAAAGTCGAATACGAGCGCGAAAGGCTGCTGGGAATCGCCAATAAATGAATGAATTTATATTATTCGACTTTTCCGCTTTACTCGGGGGACAACCTTAATTGAAATAGCTGCGTACACTCAGAGTAACATCACAAGCATCATATTCACCTGAGTACATTACACCAACACAGAAAAAAAATCAGTATTTCCGCGATCTCCTAAGAGATCCCCTTTTCACTCTTTACAAATCAATTAAATACTGATTTTTTTCTGTGTTGGCGTCCTATGCAAGAAAGCATTAAAAGTCTCCACCTTTGTTCTGTCCGATATTATGCTGTAGTCATCGTTAAAAATTTGGCGGGCTTTTTGACTACGCTTAAATGTCAAAAACAACTATTCTTCCAAACGTTTAAGCATGAAGTGGACGCGTATCACGTGAAATTGCTGTTATTATATACCTCCGAGTGTTTATTGAAAATTGGCTAAAAAATGTTTTGTTGTTAGAGTAAACATTTATGATAAGGTATTTGGTTTCTGCATCTCGCATACGTTCCTTAAATTTGACTATATAGTCCGTGAGTTGTGACCTCGAAAAGTGCCTAGAAAACGATTTTTATTAATGCTTAAGCATGTCTTAGATCTGAAATATTTTTACAGGAACTAACACTTTCGAACACGGTGAGTTTATCTTCACTAATTTCACAGCAAATTTTTTCATTGTTCAACGACACGGATCGATGACGATACACGATTATGTCACTCAAAAGGACTAATTTCTATTAACAAGTTTTCCTTTTAACAAAAGACCGGTTTTGCTCGAATGATTTTGAGTTATGCAATCTTATGTGTTGGACGTAAACAACATATCTTGTCTACAACTTTGAGAATTAAGGTACAGATAATTATTTCTAAAACCTTTGTTGTGACCCTATAAAATAACAAGGACGTTAATGTTAAGTGTTTGTGCTATGTCTCTGGGCAGAGAAATAATTCCTTCTATGAAATCAAAATGTTTTATACAAAGATGTAAAACGGTAAACTTATGTAAAGGATCAGCATTTAGTTTTCCAACACTGTTTCCGAGACGGAATACAAGAGATAACTTATCATTGCATTTGATCTATTACATCAGTTGGTCATTATGCTGTGCCATAAGCAACTATTACTGGAAAGAGGGCTTTCATATACGTTGAAATCATCAAATAAACAGCTCATGCACGCAATTCTCCACTTCGTCGTTTGTTTACAGAGCATATTTTATACTTTGGGACCGATCTTTGTCTTTGATGTGAACATTTATTCTTATAGTTTAAGGTTATTTAAGATTGATCCTGTCGTATGTAGGCCTATTTTACCAGCAACCAGTCGATAATATTTAATTTTAGCGTTGTCTTTGCCGTTACGTTGGCTTCGCGTTTGTTTTGTTTTAAATACCCTGTTCGCGTCAAAAGAGTTATTTTTCAGGCCAGTGACATAGCCAAAAGACTTCGCATTAATGTCCTTGTGATTTTATAGAGATATCTCTAGAACTAAGGATTTTAGAACGCGTTATCTTAGTCAAGGACCTGCATATGAGCTGTAGGCTATGCATTTCATTTAGGACAGATAATCTCAACTGTTTTGGGGCAAGTTGACCATGACGGTCAACATGGTAACGCTGCCCGAACCCCAATCCGGGGCGAAACGTCTGAAACTGACCACACCCAAAACGACGCTTTCGCCATAGTGCTATCTACCAAACCATAAAAGCTTTGGCTATTCTGAGGTGCTTATATATTTCACATATGGTACTTTAAGGGGTGGTCATTGTTAAGTGTAAAATGCCTAGCACTGACATTTCACAAGAAAATGACCATGCAATACTCATAGTCAAACGTCAATTTGTGACTTACAAATTCAGATAAACAGCAGTGGACCTACATTACCTTTTTTCATAAATCTTTTTTATAGAAACGTAATTGATACTTATTTATGTATATTATCACTGCTTTTGTGTAAAATAGTTGATAATTTGTGTCCGAAATAAGAATTTGAAATGTACCTACCTCTTGCAAATGGACGTATTTGGCCAAATTCTCCACTTTACTCCGCTGTTTATCGCCGATCTCTTTGAAATCCTTCCAAATATGTACGTCAGCTCAGACATAATGGTATCAAGCACATTTTAAATAAGTTTTAAATTCGATTCAAGCAGATCATAGCTGATTAATTAACCATCGACAAGGTAAAACCTCAACTTTGTCCAAATTCGGCGCCATTTTGTCATCCCATGTCGGTTGTCAACAATTTGGCCTTGTTATTTTTCCATCCAAGCCATTTGAATCGCACTAATAACAAATTTAATCCTTTATTAAGGGCAGGAAACTAAAAAATATAAACAAATTATAAGAAATGCAGCATTTTATCACCCTGTAGAATGTTGCTTACAAGACTTTAAAAACATTCCGTACAAATCACGCGTGACAAAGTAACAGGGCCGTGACAAGGGAATAGCCAAAGCTTTTATGGTTTGGTAGATAGCACTATGGCGAAAGCGTCGTTTTTGGGTGTGGTCAGTTTCGGACGTTTCGCCCCGGATTGGGGTTCGGGCAGCGTTACCATGTTGACCGTCATGATCAACTTCCCCCAAAACAGTTGAGATTATCTGTTCTAAATGAATGGATACAAACTCATATACTGGTCCTAGACTATCTTTACTTTCTCAAAGTTGTAGACAAGATATATGTTCTTTACGTCCAACACGCCTAAGATTACATAGCCCAAAATGATTCGAGCAAAACCGGTCTTTTGTTAAAATGAAGACTGATGGTTCTTAAAAATTGGTCCTTTTGAGTGACATAATCGTGTTTCGTCATCGAACCGTGTCGTTGAAGAATGAAAAATTTGTCGTGAAATTATTGAAGATAGAATAGCATTTTGTGAGAAAACTGCGGGTCTACGGAGCGGGAACTTTTCGGATTTGAACTCAGCGTGCTATAAAGTGGTAGTTCCCGTAAAAATATTTCAGATCTAAGACATGCTAAATGAAAGTGGACGATATCGAATCACAAGACACGGACTACTAAGCTTTTATCCAGCATTGAGAAAATTTAAATACAAAGAAGAATTATAATGACTTTGTTTCCGCGTTTAGGAATACAATGCAAGCTGCTTACTACCAAAAGGTTTGCGAATCAACGTTATTTCCATTTACAATAACTTGTAATGTGTTGTAAACATATTATGGTTTTTATTAAGAAATTAGCAGTTTGGGAAAGGTATCTAGGAAAAGGGACATATTCATCAATACTAGGCGGGGATCGCAGAACGATTACATAGTACAAGTTAATGTGTTGGAGTGCTGTCAACCCTTTTGTATTCGCAAAGGGCCAACTGACATGTTTCCGGAAAATTTTATGGATAAATACACCTAGAAAGTGCATTTCCAGCCGTTTTCGACAGTAACCACACTTGCTAAATTTCGTAAAATTTCTTCCACTCAATCATGCGGGCCCGTGTTGTCATCTTACAGAAAGTGGCCAATCCTTTGCAAAATGCAAAAGTTTCAATTTTTCCCCGCAAGTCCGCTGAAAATACGAGCTTGCGGTATTGAGAGAAAATGTGATGAATATAACTAGTGTTTAATATTGTTTAAAATGACAATATCCATTTAAAAGCCAAAACTAGACGAAAGTTCGTCGGTATTTAAGCTCGACCAATCAGAATCGTTTACCATCATTCCTGACCAATCAGAATTTACTATTCAGATTTGACAGAAAATCCTGGCCAAAACGTTTTGGACAAGCCACAGACATTTGCTTCGAATGGCGTTTCTCTAAATATGTATTACCCAGCTCACCCAAGTCAATGTTGAATCGGGAATTTTTTATCATATATAAAGTATGGGCAATGCGGATATGCAACATTGAATAGGCGAAGTGCGGAATACGCGTGTAAAGTCAAGGTTTGGCTGCTTGTTCGGATTTTTGCAAAACTGGATTAAGTGTGCCGATGAAAGTAGTAGACAATTATTGTGTTTGAGTTACAAAAAACCGCCAGGAAATATGCTTAGTAAAATTGAGCTGGTTTGTGTCTAAATAATCCATTCTTGACTTTATTTTGCAAAAAAATAATTGGTGCTGGTAGACGCAGATGTCCTGAGCAAAAATACGCGACCACGAGTTAACAATGAAATTTATATAACTAAAGAACCTTTTCCATGCACGTATTATAATTTGCCAACAGCAAGTCTAGCTGCTCGCGATATAGGCCTATGCTAGTTACTTTTATTCGTTTCAACTTCATATAATAGCTTCCTTCTGACAGTGAAATTTCAAGGTCCATCTAAAACTTGCTAAATATATACAACATTGACAGGAAATTATACATGACTAAAAGCAGGAACTATGCATCTGCATGAAGTTACTAGGCTTCCCTTCATGGTGTATAGGGAAATGTGTAGAAAAAAATAGTCAATTTCAAAACGGCTCTCAATTTCACAATTAAATCCGTTCATATCATGAAATTTTTGATAAATATAGATTGTTTGGGTACTTATAATGTATAATAAACAAAAAAAATCGGAACGATACATTTTCCAGATCGGGCCAGGTGCGCGAAATTTAAAAGGTTATAACGCATTTTGAGTCCATGGGCGAGAAATTTGTTATGTGTTCTATTAATGGTCCAAATATCAGAAAATTCGCTCAATATTAATTTTGGATCCTTTAAATGGCCGCTGAACCTTTCATTCTTTGGGAGCAATGCCTATATCGCGCATGTTTAATTCGTGCATTTACCTAATTTCCATATTGTTATTGTATAAAAAGTAAAATAACAATATGCAAATTAAGTAAATGGATGAATTCAGCATGTTTGAAAGGTATTGGTGCCAAGAAATGAAAGTTTTAGCAGCTATTTGAAGGACGTAAAATTGAGATTCATGCTCTGTGTGTGATTCTAGGGTATTGGGAAAATGTTGCTACGGACAAATGTGTTGGAGCCAAAAATGACGACTATAAAGAGATTAAGCACAGCGGACCAAGCAGATTTATTACTAAGATGAAATTGGTCCACAAAAAAGGTCAGATTGGATGCGCGTATGGGCATGATTCAAATTGGGGATGCATCAGTGCTCTCCTTACGGGGATCATCGTTACAGGTGTGAAAGAAACTACAGTAAGTGGAAATCTTAAAATTGAAACAGCCTTGAATCTCACAACTACCGTAGTAATTTTTACAACATCTCAAAGTGGTTAAGTTAGAACAGTATACGTATGCTGAAATATTTTATAGTATTCGATATGAAAGGTGATCTCGAGACAACAAGTAAACAAGTCAGTTGAATTAGATCAAACAAAATATTAAAATCATATTACAGGATAATTGTTTACAAATAAAATTTAAAAAAACTGTAAAAAATAAAAAATAAAATATGAAACAAGTATGGAATTAGGTGAGAAATCAAACTATGCTGTCAGGATCAGGCAAAGACAGGAATTCGAAGAGCGACATATCAGGAAAAGATTCATTAAGCCCTAGACCCGATTTAAGTAGACAGTTCCGTGTTGGCCGCATTCTATTCATCCGCTACTATAGCTGCTTGAAATGGACCAGAGTGCTCGCGTATATTCATATTGTAACTCCGTGATTGCCATAGCACGGTTGCCAATAACAATTTGCTGACGCGCATGAAAACTTGTCATCAAAACTCTTCCAGTTTTTATCAATATAAAGCACGTCATGTCTACTGCTTTAGATGCATTAGGTGAGATGGGAGGAGGTGCATTTAGGTACAAATCGTATTAATTTAATCAAGGAACACAATTAAATTAAATAACGTACTATTATGTGACCTCGAATTTGCGGTAGGGAGCTATAAACTCAGGGATCGCGTTACAGTGTGGACTAGGGGCCCTTGTAGAATCCGACATATTTGTAACCTATTTTATACCTATTTTTTCTCTATTTAGCCCTATTTTTTCCGTATTTTTTCTAAAATATGACTATTTTATTACTATTTATCAAATTTCATAAAATAGGATATGACTATTTACACTCTATTTAAAATATGTGTTATCTATATTTTTCAAAAAAATAGCTTTTAAATAGGTATTCAAATCCTATTTGAAAGAGTATTTGACGGAATCTCTCTATGAAATAGCTTTTAAATAGCTATTTATTTCCTATTGATGACAAACGAGTCAGTTAAAATAGTTTTAAATAGCTATTTTTAAACTATTCTTCCTTATCTTTTCGAGCCATTCTTAACACATTTATTAAATAGCAAAATAATTAGATCTTAAATAGCTATTTAATTCCTATTCATAGCAAGTTGTGGCAAACTTTGGTTCAAAATAGCTATAAAATAGCTATTTTTAAACTATGTTTGCTTTTATTTTTGGAGCTATTATTGAGTATTGTTAAAATAGTTATTAAATAGGAAAATAAATAGATCTTTTAAGATCTATTTATTTTCCTATTTAATAACTATTTTAACAATACTCAATAATAGCTCCAAAAATAAAAGCAAACATAGTTTAAAAATAGCTATTTAATTCCTATTCATAGAAAGTTGTGGCAAACTTTGTTCCAAATAGCTATTAAATAGCTATTTTTAAACTATGTTTGCTTTTATTTTTGGAGCTATTATTGAGTATTGTTAAAATAGTTATTAAATAGGAAAATAAATAGATCTTAAATAGCTATTTGATTCCTATTCATAGAAAGTTGTGGCGAAGTTTCTTCAAATGGCTATTAAATAGCTATCTTTAAACTATGTTTACTTTTATTTTTAGAGCTATTGTTAAAATAGCTAATAAATAACAAAATAATTCGATCTTAAAAAGCTATTTATTTCCTATTCATAGAAAGTTGTGAGAATTGAGAAAGGGTAAATGTATTTATCTAACTGGTCAAAAATTACCAGTTTGAGTTAATTTTAAATTTTTTATGAGTTCATTGAAATTATATTTACAAAAATATTTATAGTCTTTGTGGAGGTAGGTATTTTGTCTCTTGACAAAACACCACCAAAAATTCTCACGAAGAGCGCGGTTTTGACAGACTCACAGACTGGTGCCTAATTTTCCAACAACGCGCGCAAAGCTTTCTGGGATAGCGTCACAATTCACACCACCATATTTAAAAATTTTTTAGTTTAAACTTTCCGCTCAAAATACTCAAATACAGAGAATTTATTGAGCGAAAGTAATATTTATTTAAAAGATTAAAGATCAGGAATGACTGGGTAACATCCAGGTAAGAATTTTGTTATGTTTTATTTATAAATAGAGCAATTTTGAAAGGAAATATTTACTATCTTCATTCGTGAATTTTGAGCACATGTTCCAGCTTAAAATTTCAATTTGCTTCGACAATATTTGAATTAAAACAACATTAGTTTTATAAAATGCTTACATTTGACTCAGCCTTTATATTAAATGTTGTTTATTGTAATGCCAAATAGTATACTTTGACCTTTGTGTATAGTGTATATGACAGATTGCCAGATTCCAGTGTTTTTGTATAAAATAATATAGCTTGGCATCTACTCAATTCTCATATGCCTACCCAGCCATGTCCCAGCTAAACATGGTTTGAGAAAAAATTTTTCGACTGGTTTCAAATTAACTGGTACTTTCATAAGTTTCCAATATTTATTCATATATATAGGTGGGTCAGTTTAGAATAGATCAAAATATCAATTTGATGTGTTGTTGTCATTTGTGGCAACTTGATTATAGACATGTCCCTAAATGAAAACAGTTAAAGTCTTTAGTTTGCTTGTTCAAACTTATGAATACATTTAGTTACACCACATGTCTTCATGATCTGCTTAATAATATATGTAACAACCTTTGGGCTTCATTTTATATACTTTGTTATTAAATGTTATCTTGCCTAATGCCGGACAATTTTATTTGTAAAGGGAAGTGTCTAGCTAGAGTGCTAGACTCTGCCCATGTTTCATGTTGACATATTTAGATTGAATGCAAGTTGAAGTTACTGTATGTATATACTTAACTCTTTGGCTACTATAGAGACTGCTAACTACAGATTTTTAACTCATTTATTGACAGACCTCTACCTACTGATAAGTAAAATTGTCTGGCATTTATAGACGATAAATGCTAAAGTAGGTCTGTAATAGCCTCTGATGTTTCAGCACTTCTACACTTGTTCTCAATTTCTTTTACTAATTATATTTTATTTAAAGACTATTTACATTATATGTTTTAACTTTTTATTATCTATGTTTTAACCACTGGTATTTATAATATATTCTAAAAATATTTATAGGCTATATGTATTTGTATACACTACATTTAATAACTATTCTAACTGTATTAGCAGGACATATTTTAACTATTTATTTGATATGTTATTACTATTTTTTAACTATTTTTAACCTATTTGGGCAATATTATATCCACTATTTATTAGCTATTTTTAACAAGCTGGGATGTATTTTAACTATTTATTATCTATTTTTAAGCTATATTATCACTATTTTGAACTATTTATTATCTATTTTTAAACTATATTACTACTATTTTCGAACTATTTATTATCTATTTTTAAACTATATTATCACTATTTTTGAACTATTTATTATCTATTTTTAAACTATATTATCACTATTTTTGAACTATTTATTATCTTTTTTTAAACTATAATCTCACTATTTTTGAACTATGTATTATCTATTTTTAAACTATATTATCACTATATTCGAACTATTTATTATTTATTTTTAAACTATATTATCACTATTTATTATCTATTTTAAACTATATTGTCACTATTTTTAAACTATTTATTATCTATTTTTAAACTATATTATCACTATTTTTTAACTATTTATTATCTATTTTTAAACTGTAATATCACTATTTTTGAACTATTTATTCTCTATTTTTAAACTATATTATCACTATTTTTGAACTATTTATTGACTATTTTAAACTTTGTTGAAACACATTTCACCTATTTATTACATATTTTTTACCTATATTGTCACTATGTTTTAACTATTTCATACATATTTATTAACTATGTCGAAACTAAATATTTTTAATAATTTCCTTAAATAGCTCTATTTTTATCATATTTGAAACCTATTTAATTTCTATTCGAGTATATCAATTAAGTATTTGTTTAGAAATATATCATGAATAGGAAAAAAATATGGTTCCACTTGGATAGGAAAAAAATAGCTTTTCTACACTAATTTAAATAGGAAAAACCTCGAAAAAAAATAATAGTGAAAATAGGAAATAAATACTTTGATAAATAGGAATTAAATAGCCCAATAAAATAGGAATTAAATAGCAATTAAATAGTGTTTGTTTCTACAAGGGACAGAATAGATACACAACCAGAAGTGTCACTCAGACGATATTTTGTCCGAAATTTTACGAGTGCTGACGTGAAAATACGCCATCGTATGACGCCATCCTGGAGTGCACACGGAAGTTTTTCATAGGAAAACATAGGTACAAAGTGCCGTGTGCACTCCAGGATGGCGTCATTGCACGTAAAAAAAATTCGGACGTTTTCCTTCAGTCAAAACACATAGGAGTGTCCCTTCTGGTCCGGTATCTATTCTGTGGCAGTACAATTAATGATTTTCCCAAAACAAACAAAATGGCGGAAAGGGATTTTAAACACAGATGTGAAATGAAATTGCCGTGAAGGAACTAGATGAAAATACGAACAAAAGCACCAAATTTTGCTTGAACAAAAGAACTAAATGAAAATACAAACAAAAACACCAAATTTTGGTTGAAAGTCTGGCAGAACTGGGCTTTGGCGAGAGAATATGATGTTGACATTGAGAAGTACGTATCCAATTTTGTCATGCTAATAATAAACAAGTAATCATGCGATGTTACTCGTACAATTAGGAATTAATAGTAGTCGTGATGTTTGGAAATTTGCCAAATTGGACTCGCCCCGGCGGCCCGTCCAATTCTGTCAAAATTTCCAAACATCACTCGTACTATTAATCCCTAATTGTACTCGCCATCGCATGATTACCTATATAATAATATACATAAAGATACTACTCGACTGTGATTGGTTGATTTCAGTGCAGTTAATCCCAAACAGCAGTGCAATTTTCTGTAATCACAGTGCAATTTTCTGTAATCACAGTGCAATTTATTGTAATCACAGTGCAATTTTCTGTAATCACAGTGCAAAAATCTGTAACAAACTGATTTGATTGGTGGAAAAACATTGTGATGATTAAATCA